GTCTCAAAGAGAGATGATGACATAAAAATCATGCTCAATAGGATTACACTGAGGCCCAATGGAGGGGACCATGCTGGGGTCAACATCCCAGGGTTGCCTGGGGTCCTGGGGGAGCGCTGTAGTTTGGGGCTTGAGGCAACGTTTCCCTCAAAATTCCCCGCTGTTGCTGTGGCATTTCTGTGGGTCTCCAAGTGCCCAAAGGGCCTCAGGCCTTCAACCTTCCCAGCTGACCCATTCCCCTTCCCAGGACACTTCCTGGGGAGCCATTGCTCAGAACCTAGTTCTCCTAGTGTCTTTCAGTAGGCCGTGGTGACCAGGGTCTCCATGCAGCCACAAAAATAACAGGTGAGTGTAAACAACTGGGCTTGGAGGGAAGCGGCAGATGCCATTGGGGTGGGTCCTGTTGGCCCGTGTCTGGGTGGTGGCTCATGGACATCGGCTCAGGAGCCCTGAATGTCTGTAAAGGGTGGAGATCCCCCTTGAAAGTCCGCCCTTGGACCATCTCATGTGCATGGGAAACAAATTTTGCATGGGTCCCTGACAAGGACCGGAAAGTGTATGGGCGCCAACGTCAACCCACATTCAGCTGAGGGCTCTTGCTGCTTTATGGCATGCCTCATGGGCCCATCCAGATGGTGGACGTGGGCCCCTTGGGCCACTGGCATCTGTCCACCTCAGCCTTGAGGTGTTCCTGAAGCGCTGGCCCTTGGCAAGTTGCCCCGGGTGGGACAGCCCAGAGCTTCTGTTGCACACACCCAACTCCCAAGGAGCTTGGGCCTCCTCAGACCAGCTGGGGAGCTCTCCTCCCTGATCCCTTGGGTTGTCAAGACCGAAAGGGCCACCAGTCCAAGGAGGGGAATCTTGAGTTCTTGGGTGCAATAGGTGATGGCCATGGGCCTCTCGCAGTGACACTCTAGACCTGAGGTAGTGATTCCAGGAAGAGACCCAGCAGGTGCAGGGAGAGGGCCCCCCTGCAAAGGGGGCAGTGGGCAGCATGACTTGGTTGTATGCATGCCGTTGGCCCGATATCCATTCCTCTGCCCTGGCAACCCTGGGGGCCATGGCTCCCCATGTCTTCGAGGGCACCAGCCAGGCTCGGGGTGCGACAGATGGCCAATCCATGGGAGGGCGAGGGCCTGAACCTACCTATAAGGGCATGCACACTTCACGACTGGCCCCATGCCTACAGCGTGCTACCGCTCGGGAAGCATGTGTGCCATGCCTTCTTCTGGGGGGAGGCTTCAGCAAGACTTGGCTGCTTCAGGGGCCAAGCCCTCCATTTTTTCAGGATCCAGGTATGGGCATCTCTGCTTCTATAGCCTGCCCCTTCCTTGCAGTCATCTGCTATGTGCCGTCTGGTCTAAAGCCTTGCCATGGGGTGCTAGGCTTTTGGGACTGGCACTTCTTGGCTGCAGGAGCAGGTTCCATGCAGCAGGGCATTCTGACACCTGGCCTAACCCTCTCTACCAAGATTGTGTCCCCAGACAAAGATTCTGCCCTGAGGGCCAAGTCTTGCTAGGCCCAGCCCCTGCAAGAGGCTCAAAGTCTCGTGACTCAGTCTCCCCCACCCCCCAGCCAGGGTATCCTGCTCTACAGTAAGCACCCCAGATATCAGGTTCAGGGGACAGCATAACACCCGCCTGCGTCATCACTGCCTTGTTTGGGTCAATGATGAGAACTCATATTGTCTCAAAGAGAGATGATGACCTAAAAATCATGCTCAATAGGATTACGCTGAGGCCCAATGGAGGGGACAATGCTGGGGTCAACATTCCAAGGTTGTTTGGGGTCCTGGAGGAGCGCTGTAGTTTGGGGCTTGAGGTGACGGTTCCCTCAAAGTTCCCCACTGTGGCTGTGACCTTTTGATGGGCCTCCAAGTGCCCAAAGGGCCTCAAAACTTCGAATTTCTCTGTTGACCCTATCCTCCTCCCAGGACATCTCCTGTGGAGCCATTGCTTAGCACCTGGTTCTCCTTGTGTCTTTCAGTAGGCCATGGTGGCCAGGGTCTCTGCACGGCTTCAAACATGGCAGGTGAGTGGAAGCCACTGGGTTTAGAGGGAAGTGGCAGGTGCCATTGGGGTGGGTTCGGGTGGCCTGTGTCTGGGTGGCAGTTGCATGGACATCAGACTGGGAGCCCTGGATGTCTGTAAAGGGGGGACTTCCAACTTGAAAGTCGGCCCTTAGACCATCTCATGTGCAGGGGAAGCAAATTTTGCATGGGTCCCTGACAAGGACCAGAAAGTGTATGGGTGCCAATGTCAGACCACATTCAGCTGAGGGCTCTTGCTGCTTCATGGTGTGCCTCATTGGCCCATCCAGATGGTGGACGTGGGCCCCTGGGCCACTGGTGTCTGTCCACCTTGGCCTTGAGGTGTTCCTGAAGTGCAGGCCCTTGGCAAGTTGCCCCGGGCGGGAGAGCCCAGAGCTCCTGATGCATGTACTGGACTCACAAGGAGCTTGGGCCCATTAGGGGCAGCTGGGGAGCTCCCCTCCTGATCCCTTTGAGTGCATAGACAGGAAGAGCCCACTGGGCCTAGGAGGGGAATCTCGAATCCCTAGGCACAAGAGGCAATATCCCTGGGCCTATGGTCGCAGCACTCTAGACCTGAGGGAATGATCCGAGGAAGAGGCCAAATAGGTGCAGAAACAGGGTCCCCCTGCATGGCGGACAGAGGCTGGCATGTCTTGGTTGCATGCACGTGATTACCCTGGCATCCAGTCCTCTGCCCTTGGGGCCCTGGGGTCCATGGAGCCCCATGGCCTCGAGGTCACTTGCCCAACTCCGGGTGTCACAGATGGCCAATCCCTGGGAGGGCGAGGACCTGGTCCTAACTGCAAGGAAATGCACCTTTCACCCCCAGCCCCCCACCCACAGTGTTGCTACCTCTCCAGAAGCCTGTGTGCCAGGCGCTCTCCTGGGGGGCACCATCAGCAAGTCTCGGTTCCATCGGGGACCATACTCTCCGTTGATTCAGGGTCCAGGTATGGGAATCTCTGCTCCTGTAGCCTGCCCCTACCTTGTGGTCCCCCGATGTGTGCTGGCAATCCTCACGACTTGCCATGCAGCACTAGTCTTTCCGGACTGGCAGTTCTTGGCCGCAGGGACAGGCGCCCCAGTCAGGACATTTTGACAGCTGACCTAACCCTCTCTCCCCAGATGCTATCCCCAGATGATGATCCTGCCCTGAGGTCCAAGTCTTACTAGGCCAAACCCCGACAAGAGGCCCAACATCTCGTGCCATCGCCCCCTTCCCGGGGCATCCCGCTCTACAGGAAGCACCCCGGGTAAGCCAGTTCGGGGGATGGGAGAATGCCCCCCTGCATCACCATTGCCTTGTTGGGTCAATGATGAGAACTCATATTGTCTCAAAGAGAGATGATGACCTAAAAATCATGCTCAATAGGATTACACTGAGGCCCAATGGAGGGAACCATCCCTGGGTCAGCATGCAGAAGATGCTTGGGGCCCTGTTGGAGAGCTGCTGTTTGGGGCTTGAAGCGACCATTCCCTTGAGGCTCCCTGCTGTGGCTGTGGTGTGACTGTGGGCCTCCAGGTGCCAAAGAGGTGCTCAGGCCTTCTGCCTTGCCTGCCAACTCATTCCCTCTCCCAGGACGTCTCCCAGGGAGCCATTGCTTAACAACCCTGGTCCCCTGTGTCTTTCAGTGGGCCGTGGTGGCCAGGGTCTCCATGTGGATTCAAACATGGCAGATGTGTGGAAGCCACTGGCTTTGGAGCAAGGCCACAGATGCCATTAGTGTGGGTTTGGGAGATCCGTGTCTGGGAGGCAGCCGCATGAGTGTTGTGCTGGGATCCCTAGATGTCCAGATAGGGTGGATTTCCCAATTGAAGCTCCCCCCTTGGGCCATCGCATGTGTAGGGGATGTGAAAGGTTGGAGGGGTCCCTGACAAGGGCTGGAAAGTGCAGGGATTCAACCATCAGCACACATTCATCTGAGGGCTCCTGCTACTTTATTTTGTGCCCCATGGGCCTGTACAAATGGTGGACTTTGGCCCCTTGGGGCCACTGGCGGCTCTCTCCCTCAGCGCTGGGGTGTTCCTGAAGCCCCGGCCCTTGGCAAGGTGCCCTGGGCAGGAGATCCCAGAGCTCCTGTCACATGCAACTGACTCTCAAGGAGCCTGGGCCCCCTCAAGGCAGCTGAGGAGCACCATCCCTGATCCCTTAGCCCGCTGAAGCAGGAAGGGCTTACTGGGCCTTGGAGGGGAATCTCGAGTCCCTGGGCACAACAGGCGATGGCCCTGCACCTATCGTCATGGCACTCTAGACCTGAGGGAGTGATCCAGAAGAGGCCCAGCAGGTGCAGGGAGAGGGCTCTCTTGCACAATGGGCACTGGGTATTATGCCTTGGTTGCATGCACGCAGATGGCCCAGCATCGATTCCTCTGCCCTGGGGGTCCTGGGGGCTATGGCTCCCCTTGTCTTCAAGAGTACCTGCCCAGCTCCAGGTGCCACAGTTGGCCAATGGTGGGAGGGAAAGGGCCAAGCCCTACTACCAGGGCATGCACACTGTATGCTAGGCTGTGTGCCTACCACATGCTACCTTTCAGGAAGCCTGTGTGTCTGGCCTTCTCCTGGGGGCCATCATCAGCAAGGCTTGGCTCCCTTGGGGCCACTCTCTCCGTTGTTTCAGGGTCCAGGTATGGGCATCTCTGCTCCTGTAGCCTACCCCTTCCTTGCATTCCTCTGCCATGTGTTGGGCAATCTCATGCCTTGCCATGCATTGCCAGGATTCCGGGAGTGGTAGCTCTTGGCCGCAGGGGCAGGGACCCTGGAGCAAGGCATTTTGAGACCTGGTCCCCAGATTGTGCCCCCAGTTGAAGATCCCACCCTGAGCCAAGTCTTTCTATGCCCAACACTGGCAAGAGGACCAATGTCTCATGCCCCCGCATGCCCCTGGGGCATCCTGCTCTGCAGTAGACACCCCTGATGAGCAGTTTCGGGGGATGGAGAGCACCTGCTCAGGTTGCCACTGCCTTCTTTGGGTCAATGATGAAAACTCATATTACCTCAAAGAGAGATGATGACCTAAAAATTATGCTCAACAGGATTACACTGAGACCCAATGGAGGGAACAACCCGGGATCAGCATCCCAAGGATGTTGGAGGCCATGGGGGAGTGCTGCAGTTTGCGGCTTGAAGTGACTGATCCTTTGAAGTTCCCCACTTTGGCTGTGACCTGACTGTGGACCTCAAGGTGCCCATGAGGGGTTCAAGCCTTCGGTCTTGCCTGCCAACCCATTCTATCTGCCAAGATGCCTCCCAGGGAGTCATTGCTTAGCAACCCTGGTCTCCTTGTGTCTTCCACTGGGCCCATGGTGGCCAGGGTCTAGGTGCGGCCTCAACCATGGCAGGTGATTGGAAGCCACTGAGCTTGGAGGGAGGACTCAGACACCATCGGGGTAGGTTCGGGAGGCCGGATCTGTGTGGCAGCCACATGGGCATTGGTCTGAGAGCCCTGGATGTCCAGAGAGGGAGGACTTACCCCTTGAAGGTCCGCCCTTGGACCATTCTATGTGCAGGGGTGTGAAAGGTTGGCCAGGTCCCTGACAAGGACCAGAAAGTGCAGGGACCCCACTGTCAGCCCACTATCTGCTGAGGGCTCTTGCTGCTTCATGGTGTGCCCCATGGGTCCATCTAAATGGTGGATGTGGGCCCCTTGGGGCCATTGGCGGCTGTCCCTCTCGGCCCTGGGTTGTTCCTGAAACCACAGCTGTTGGCAAGATGCCCTGAGCGTGAGAGCCCAGGGCTCCTATTGCATGTACCTGACTCCCAAGGAACTTGGTCCCCCCTGTGGCAGTAGGAGACCTCCCCTCCCCAATCCCTTGGGCCACTGAGACTGGATAGGTCCTGCCGGGACTTGGAGAGGAATCAAGAGTCCCTGGGCACAACAGGTGATGGCCCTGGGCCTCTTTCCAGGGCACTCTAGTCCTGAAGGAGTGATCCTGGGGAAGAGGTCCAGCAGGTGCAGGGAGAGGCCTCCCCTGCATGGCAGACATTGGGCTGCATGCCTTGATGGCATGCATGCATTTCACCCGGCATTCTTTCCTCTTTCCTGGGGGCCATGGTTCCCCGTGTCCTTGAAGGCACATGCCCAGCTCTGGGTGCCACAGATGGCCAATCCATGGGAGGTCAAGGGCCTGGCCCTACCTACCAGGGCACACGCCTTTTACGCCCGGCCCCCTGTCCACAGTATACTACCTCTCGGGAAGCCTGTGTGCCAGGCCTTCTTGAGGGGCACCATCAGTAAGACTAAGCTTCACGGGGGCCATGCTCTATGTTGTTTCAGGGTCCAGGTATGGGCATCTCTCCTCCTGTAGCCTGCCCCTTCTTTGCAGTCCCCCGCTGTGTGCAGGCTGGCCTAACGCCTTGCCACGCCATGCCAGGCTTTTGGGACCGGCAGCTCTTGGCTCAGGGTCAGTTGCCACAGAGCCGGGCGTTTTGACACCTGGTCTACACCTCTCTTCCCAGATGCCTCTCCCAGATGTTGATCCTGCTCTGAGGACCATGTCTTGCTAGGCACAGCCCCAGCAAGAGGCCCAACGTCTCATGCCCCTGCCTCCCCCTGGGCATCCCGGTCTACAGTAAGCACCCCCAGGAAGCAGGTTCGGGGGACGAGAAAGTGCCCGCCCACTTCACCACTGTCCTGCTTGGGTCAGTGATGAGAATTCATATTGTCTCGAAGAGAGATGAAATCATGCTCAGTAGGATTATGTCGAGGCCCTATTGAGGGCACCATCCCAGGGTCAGCATCCTCACAAGGCTCAGGGCCCTGTGGGAGGGCTGCAGCTTGGGGCTTGAGGCGAACAATCCCTTGAGGCTCCCCACTGTGGCTGTGGCCTGACTGTGGGCCTCCAGTTGCGCAAAGGTTCTCGGGGCTTCACCCTTGCCTGCAGACCCATTACCCCTCCCAGGACACCTCCAGGGAAGCCATTGTTTAGCAACCTTGGTCTCCTTGTGTCTTTCAGTGGGCCTTGGTGGCCAGGATCTCAGAACGGTCTCAACAATGGCAACACCAACGGTCTCAACAACAGTGAGTGGAACCGACTGGGCTTGGAAAGAGGACACAGATGCCATTGGGGTCGGTTCAGGATGCCTTTGTCTGGGAGGGAGCTGCATGGGCATCAGACCAGGAGCCCTGGATGCTGGAGAGGGTGGACTTCCCCCTTGAAGGTCCACTGTTGGATTATCCCATGTGCAGGGGAAGCAAAAGGTTAGCAGGGTCCCTGACAAGGACTGCAAAGTTCAGTGATGCTGTCCTCAGCCCATGTTCAGCTGAGGGATCTTGCTGCTTCACAGGATGCCATATGGGCCCATCCAGATGGTGGACCTAGGCCCTTTGGGGCCACTGGCAGCTGTCCACCTTGGCCCTGGGTTGTTTCTGAAGCTCCAGCCCTTGGCAAGGTGCCCCAGGCGGGAGAGCCCTGACTTCTGGTCGCACAAACCTGACCCCCAAGGAGCTCGGGACCCCTTGGAGCAGCTGGGGATTCCCCTCCCCAATCCCTTTGGCCACGGAGAGGAAGGGCCCACCAGGCCTAGCAGGGGAATCTGTAGTCCTAGGCGCAAGAAGCGATGTCCCTGGGCATATCAACGAGGCACTCTAGACCTAAGGGATTGATGCCAGTGAAAAGGCCCAGCAGGTGCAGAGAAAGAGGCCCCTGCATGGCGGGGAGTGGGCTGCATGCCTTGTTTGTGTGCACACAGTTGGCCCGGCATCCATTCCTCTGCCTTGGGAGCCCTTGAGAGCCATGGCTCCCTGTGTCATCGAGGGCACCTGCCCAGCTCCGGGTGCCACAGATGGCCAATCCATGGGATGGTGAGGGCCTGGCCCTAGCTACCACACCATGCACAAATCATGCCAGGCCCTTTGCCCACATCATGCCACGTCTTGGCAGGAAGCCTGTGTGCCAGGTCTTCTCCTGGGGCAGTATCAGCAACACTCGGCTCTCTTGGGGGCCACCCTCTCCATTGATTAGGGGTCCAGGTATGGGCATCTCTTCTCCTGTAGCCTGTGCGTCCTTGCAGTCCTCTGCCATGTGCCAGCCTGCCTAATGCCTTGCCAGCAGCACCAGGCTTTTGGAACTGTCAGTTTTTGGCAGCTGGGGCAGGTGCCCAAGAGCAGGACATTTTGACACCTAGACTACCACTCTCTCCACAGATTCTGTCCCCAGACCAAGTACCCACCCTGAGATTCAAGTCTTGTTAGGTCACGCCCCAGCAGGAATCCCAACGTCTTGGATCCCCACCCCCCACCGGAGCATCCCACTCTACAGTAAGCATGCCAGGTAAGCAGGTTCACGGGGCGGGAGAGGGCTCACCGGTATTGCCATTGCCTTGCTTGGGTCAATGATGAGAACTCATGTTGTCTCGAAGAGAGATGATGACCTAAAAATCATGCTCAATAGGATTACGCTGAGGCCCAGTGGAAGGGACCATCTTGGGGTCAGCATCCTGAGGATGCTCAGGGCCCTGGGGGAGTGCTGCAGTTTGGGGCTTGATGCGACAGATCCCTCAAGCCTCCCCGTTTTGGCTGTGGTCTGACTGTGGCCCTCCAGGTGCCCAAGAGGTGCTCAGACCTTCGGCCTTGCCTGCCAACCCATCCCCCCTCCCAGGACACCTTCCGGGGAGCCATTGCTTAGCAGCCTTGGTCTCTTTGCATCTTTCAACGGGCCTTGGTGGTCAGGGTCTTGGTGTGGCCACAAACATGGCACGTGAGTGGAACCACTGGGCTTCGAGGGAGGCCATAGATGCTGTCCAGAGTGGGTTCGGGAAGCCTGTGTCTGGGTGGAGGTCCCATGAGGGTCGGGCTGGGAAACATGGATGGGCCATCCTTCATGCAGGGGAAGTGAAAGATGGGCTGGGTCCCTGACAAAGACTGGAAAGTGCAGGGACACTGTTGTCAGCCAACGATCAACTGAGGGACCTCGTTGCTTCATGGTGTGCCCCATGTGCCCATCCAGATGGTGGATATAGGCCCCTTGGGGTCACTGGCAGCTGTCCCCCTTAGACCTGAAGTGTTCATGAAGCCCCAGACCTTGGCATGTTGCCCAGGGCCAGAGAGAGCCCAGAGCTCCTGTCGCATACACCCGACTCCCAAGGAGCTTGGGCCCCCTCAGGGCAGCTGGGAGCTCCCCTCCCTGATCCTTTGGGCTACCAAGACAGGAAGGGCCCACTGGATTTGGTAGGGGAATCTCAAGTCCCTGGGCACAACAGGCGATGGCCCTGGGGCTCTCACCCTGACACTCTAGACCTGATGGAGTTATCCAGGGGAAGAAGCTCAGCAGGTGCAGGGAGAAGCCCCTCCTTGCGTGGCGGGCAGTGCACTGCATGCCTTGGTTGCATGCATGCATTTGGCGCAGCACCCATTCCTCTACCCTGGGGACCCTGGGGGCCATGGCCTCCCATGTCTTGGAGGGCACCTGCCCAGCTCCAGGTGTCACAGATGGCCAATCCGTGGGAGGGTGAGACCTTGGCCTTCCCTACCAGGACAAGCTCCCTGCATGCCATGCCTTGCTCCCACACCGTGCTACCTCTCAGGTAACCTGTATGCTGGCCTTTTCCTGGGGGGCAGCCTCAACAAGCCTCGGCTCCCTTGAGGGTATGCTCTCTGTTGTTTCGGGTTCCAGGCATGGGCATCTCGGCTCCTGTATCCTCCCATTTCTTTTGGTTCCCTCCACATGCCGGCTGGCCTCACACCTTGCAATGTGGCACCAGGATTTAGGGACTGGCAGCTCTTGGCTGCAGGGGTAGGTGCCCCGGAGAATGGTGTTTTGACACCAAGCCTACACCTCTCTCCCCAGATCATGTGCCCAGACGAAGATCCTGCCCTGAGGACCAAATCTTCCTAGGCCCAGCCCAGGCAACAGGCCCAACATCTCCTGCCCTGGCACCCTCCTGGGTAATCCTCTGTACAGTAAGTTCCCCTGGTAAGCGGATTCAGGGAAGGAGAGTGCCCACCCGCATTGCTACTGCCTTCCTTGGGTCAATGATGAGAACTCATATTGTCTCAAAGAGAGATGATGACCTAAAAATCATGCTCAATAGGATTACACTGAGGCCCAATGAAGGGGACCATGCCTGGGTCAGCATCCAGAAGATGCTCGCGGCCCTGGGGGAGAACTGCTGTTTGGGGCTTATAGCAACTGTTCCCTCGAGGTTCCCCACTGTGGCTGTGGTCTGACAGTGGGCTTCCAGGTGCCCAAAGGTGCTCAGGCTTTCGGCCTTGCCTGCCGACTCATTCCTCCTACCAGGATGCCTCCCAGGGAGCCATTGCTTAGCAATCCTGGACTCCTTCTGTCTTTCAGTGGGCTGTGGTGGCCAAGGTCTTGGTGCGGCCTCAACGATGTCAGGTGAGTGGAGCCACTCGGCTTGGAGGGAGGCCGAGATGCCATAGGGGTGGGTTCAGGAGTCTTGTGTCTGGGAGGCAGCTGCATGGGAATTGGGCCGGGAGCCCTGGATATCAGGAGAAGGTTGACTTACCTCTTGAAGGTTCGCCCTTGGGCCATCCCACCTGCAAAGGAAGGGAAAGTTTGGCCGTGTCCCTGACAAGGACCTTAAAGTGCAGGGACACCACCGTCAGCCCATGTTCAGCTAAGGGCTCGTGCTGATTCACGTTGTGACTAATTGGCCTGTCCAGATGGTGGACCTGGCCCCTTGGGGCCACTGGCGGCTGTCCCCCTTGGCCCTGGGCTGTTCTGGAAGCCCTAGCCATTGCTAAGGTGACCCCGTGGGACAGCCCAGAGCTTCTGTCACACGCATCTCACTCCCAAGGAGCTTGGACCTCCTCGGACCAGCTGGGGAGTTCTCCTCCCTGATCCCTTGGGCTGTCAAGACAGAAAGGGCCCACCAGGCCAAGGAGGGGAATCTTGAGTTCCTGGGTGCAACAGGCGATGGCCCTGGGCTTCTCGCAGTGGCACTCTAGACCTGAGGTAGTGATCCCATGAAGAGGCCCAGCACATGCAGGGAAAGGGCCCCCCTGCAAGGGGGCAGTGGGTGGCATGACTTGGTTTTATGTATGCTTTTGGCCTAGTATCCATTCCTCTGCCCCAGGGACCCTGGGTGCTGTGGCTCCACATGTCCTCAAGGGCACATGCCAGGCTTGGGGTGCAACAGATAGCCAATCCATGGGAGGGCGAGGGCCTGGATCTACCTACCAGGACATGCACCCTTCACGACCAGCCCCATGCCCATAGCGTGCTACCTCTTGGGAAGCATGTGTGCCGTGCCTTCTTCTAGGGGGCATCTTCAGTGAGGCTCGGCTGCTTCAGGGGCCAAGCTCTCCATTTTTAGGGGGTCCAGGTATGGGCATCTCTGCTCTTATAGCCTGCCCCTTCCTTGTGGTTACCCACTGTGTGCTGGCCGGCCTAAAGCCTTGCCACAGGGCACCAGGCTTTTGGGACTGGCACTTCTTGGCTGCAGGGGCAGGTGCCATGCAGCAGGGTATTCTGACACCTGGCCTACCCCTCTCTCCCCAGATCGTGTCCCCAGATGAAGATTCCACCCTGAAGGCCACGTCTTGCTAGGCCCAGCCCCTGCAAGAGGTCCAAAGTCTCGTGACTCTGTCCCCCAATGATCATCTGAGGGATGATCGCTGCGTCATGGTGTGCCCCATGTGCCCATCCAGATGGTGGTTATAGGTCCCTTGGGGCCACTGGTGGCTGTCCCCCTTGGACTTGGGGTGTTCATGAAGCCCTAGACTTTGGCAAATTGCCCTGGGCCAGAGAGCCCAGAGCTCCTGTCCTATGCACCCGACTCCCAAGCAGCTAGGCCCCCTCGGAGCAACTGGGGAGTTCCCTTCTACAATCCCTTGGGCCACTGAGACAGGAAAGGCCAACCTGGCCTCGGAGGGTAATCTTAAGTCTCTGGGCACAACAGGCGATGTCCTTGGGCCTATCGTAGTGGCACTCTAGATCTGAAGGAGTGATCCTGGCAATGAGGTCCAGCAGGTGCAGGAAGAGGGCCCCTGTGCATGGTGGGAATGGGCAGCATGCCTAGTTGCGGTCACGCTGTTGGCCTGGCATCCATTCCTCTGCCTTCAGGACATGGGTCCCCATGTCCTTGAGGGCACCAGCCCAACTCCAGGTGTCAGAGATGGCCAATCCATGGGACGGTGAGGGCCTAACTGTACATACCCGGGCACTCACCCTTCATGCCTGGCCCAGAGTCCACAGCATGCTACCTCTCAGGAAACCTGTGTGCTGGGCCTTCTGGGAGGCAGCATCAGCAAGGCTAGGCTCTCACAAGGGCCACACTCTCTGTTGTTTCGTGGTCTAGGTATAGGCATTTCTGCTCCTATAGCTTGCCCCTTCCATGTGGTCCCTTGCCGTATGCCAGCCGGCTTCACACTTTGCCACGTGGCGCCAGCTTTCTGGACTGGCAGCTCTTAGCTACAATGGCAGGTGCCGTGGAGCAGTGCATTTTGACACCTCGCCTACCTCTCTCTCCCCAGATCCTGACCCCAGACGAATATCCTGCCCTGAGGGCCAAGTGTGCTAGGACCAGCCACTGCAAAATGCCCAACTTTTTGTGTCCCCACCCCCCCAACCAGCCATCCTGCTCTACATTAAGCACCTTTGGTAAGCAGGTTTGGGGGACGGGACAGCACCCCACATCACCACTGCCTTCCTTGGGTCAATGATGAGAATTCATATTGTCTTGAAGAGAGATGATGACCTAAAAATTATGCTCAATAAGATTACGCTGAGGCCCAGTGGAGGGGACCATCCCAGATTCAGCATCCCGAGGATGCTCTGTGCCCTAAGCAAGCACTGCAGATTGGGGCTAGAGGCAACCATTCCCTTAAGACTCTCCACTGTGGCTATGAACTGACTATGGGCTTCCAGGTGCCCACGAGTGGATCAAGCCTTCAGCCTTGCCTGTCGACCCATTCTTCTTCCAGGGACAGCTCCCGTAGAGCCATTGCTTTGCAACCCTGATTGCCTTGTGTCTTTCACGGGCCATGGTGGCCAGTGTCTCAGTGCAGCCACAACCATGGCAGGTGAGTGGAAGCCACTGTGCTTGGAGGGAGGCCACAGATGTCATTGGGGGAGGTTCGTGAGGCCCGTGTCTGGGTGGTGGCCGCATGGGGATCGGGCTGGGAACCCTTGATGTTGGGAGAGGGTGGAGTTCCCCTTGAAGGTCCGCCTTTGGGCCATCCCTCATGCAGGGGAAGTGAAAGATGGGCCGGGTCCCTGACAAAGACTGGAAAGTGCAGGGACACCGCCGTTGTCCAGTTTAGCTGAGGGATCTTGCTGCTTCATGGTAGGCCACATGGGCTGTTCCAGATGGTGGACGTGGGCACCTTGGGATGACTGGCGGCTGTCCCCCTCAGCCCTCTGCTGTTCCTGAATCCCCTGGTTTTGGCAAGCTGCCCTGGGCGGAAGAACCCAGAGCTCCTGTCACATGCACCTGACTCCCAAGCAGCTTGGGCCCCCTCAGGGCATCTGGGAGCTCCCCTTCCCCATCCCTTGGGCTGCCGAGACAGGAAAGCCCCACCGGGTCTAGGAGGGGAATCTCAAGGCCCTGGGGCTCTCACCCTGACATTCTAGACCTGAGGGATTGATTTATTGGAAGAGGCTCAGCAGGTGCAGGGAGAGGACACCCCTGCCTGGCAAGCAGTGTGCAGCATGCCTTGGTTGCATGCACATGTTTGGGCCCCCATCCATTCCTCTGCTCTGGGGACTCTGGGGGCCGTGGATCCCCATGTCCTCGAGGGCATCTGCCCACCTGTCGGTGTCACAGGTGGCGAATCCATGGGAGGGTGATGCTTTGGCCCTACATACCAGGACAAGCTCCCTGCATGCAGTGCCCTGCTCCTACAACATGCTACCTCTCAGGGAGCCTGTGTGCCGGCCTTCTCCTGGGAGACAGCCTCAGCAAGCCTCAGCTCCCTTGGGGGCCACACTCTCCCTTGTTTCGGGATCCAGGTATGGGCATCTTGCCTCCTGTAACCTGCCCCTTTCTTTCAGTTCCTTCCATGTGCTGGCTGGCCTCATGCCTTGCCATGTGGAGCCAGGATTTTGGGACTGGCAGCTTTTGGCCACAGGGATAGGTGCCCCAGTGCAGGACATTTTGACAGCTGGCCTACCCCTCTCTCCCCAGATGCCATCCCCAGATGACGATCTCACCCTGAGGTCCAAGTCTTGCTAGGCCAAGCTCCAGCAAGAGACCCAAAGTCTCGTGCCCCTGCCTTCCTCCCAGGGCATCCTGCTCTACAGTAAGCACCCCGGGTAAGCTGGTTCAGGGGATGGGAGAGCACCCACCTGTATCACCATTGCCTTGCTTGGGTCAATGATGAGATCTCATATTGTCTCGAAGAGAGATGATGACTTAAAAAAATCATGCTCAATAGGATTATGCGTAGGTCCAATGGAGGGGACCATCCCAGAGTCAACATACCAAGGATGCTCGGGGCCCTGGGGGAGCGCCATAGTTTGGGGCTTGAAGCAACCGATTCCTCAAGGCTCCCAGCTTTGGCTGTGCCTTGACTGTGGGCCTTCAGTTGCCCAAGAGGGGCGCAGGTCTTCAGCCTTGCCTGCCAACCCATCCCCCCTCCCAGGACACCTTCTGGGGAGCCATTGCTTAGCAACCCTCGTCTCCTTGTGTCTTTCAGCAGTCCATGGTGTATAGGGTCTTGGTGCAGCCTCAACAATGGTTGGTGGGTGGAAGCCACTGAGCTTGGAGGGAGGTCACAGATGTTGGGGTGGGTTCGTGAGGCCCATGTCTGCGTGGTGGCTGCATGGGAATCAGGCCGGGAGCCCTGGATTTCTGGAGAGGGTGGACTTCTCCCGTGAAGGTCCACCTTTGGGTCATCCCACATGCAGGGGAACTGAAAGATGGGCTGGTTCCCTGACAAGGACTAGAAAGTGCAGAGACACCGCCATCGCCCAGGTCAGCTGAGGGATCTTACTGCTTCACGGTGTGCGCCCATCCAGATGGTGTACATGGGCCCCTTGGGACCACTGGCGGCTGTCTGCCTCAGCCCTTGGCTGTTCCTGAAGCCCCGGCACTTGGCAAGTTGCCCTGGGCGGAAGAGCCCAGAGCCCCTGTCACATGCACCTGACTCCCAAGGAGCTTGGGCCCTCTCGGGGCAGCTGGGAGCTCCCCTCCCCAATCCCTTGGGCTGCCGAGACAGGAAGGGCCCACTGGGTTTAGGAGGGTTATCTCAAGTCCCTGGGCACAATGGGTGATGGTCCTGGGCCTCTCGCCCTGACACTCTAGACCTGAGGGAGTGATTCAGGGGAAGAGGCTTAGCGGGTGCAGGGAGAGGTCCCCCTCCCCGAGCAGGCTGTGTGCAGCATGCCTTGGTTGGATACACATGTTTGGCCCAGCATCCATTCCTTTGCCCTGGGGACCCTGGGGGCCATGGTTCCCCATGTCCTCGAGGGCATCTGACCAGCTCTTATTGCCACAGATGGCCAATAAGTGGGAGGGCGTGGCATTGGCCCTACATACCAGGACACACACCCTGCAAGCCGGGCCCCATTCCCACACCATGCTACCTCTTGGGAAGCTTATGTGCTGGGCCCTCTCCTGGGGGGCAGCTTCAGCAAGGCTTGGCACCCTCAGGGTCCACGCTCTTTGTTGTTTCAGGATCCAGGTATGGGCATCTCTGCTACTGTAGCTTACCACTTCCTTGTGGTCCCCTGCTGTGTGCCAGCAAACCTAACGCCTTGAGAGTGGTGCCAGGCTTTTAGGACTTGCAGCTCTTGGCCACAGGTGCAGTTGCCCCAGACCAAGGCATTTTGACACCAGGTTTACCATTTCCTCCCCAGATCCCGTCCCTAGACACAGATCCAGCCCTGAGGACCATGTCTTGCTATGTCCAGCCCCTGCAACAGGCCCAAAATCTCATGCCCCCACCCCACCCCAGCCCCCAGGCATCTTGCTATACAGTAAGCACCCCAGTAAGCAGGTTTGGGGGACAGGAGAGCGCCAAACCACATCACCACTGCTTTGCTTGGGTCAATGATAACTTATAGTTTCTCAAAGAAAGAGGATTCATCCTCCCAGGACTCTTCCCACGGAGCCATTGCTTAACAACACTAGTCTCCTTTTGTCTTTCAGTGGGCCATGGTGGCCAGCGTCTTGACAGGGCCTCAACCATGGCAGGTGAGTAGAAGCAACTGGGCTTGGAGGGAAGCCACAGATGCTATTGTGGTAGATTCGGAAGGCCTGTGTCTGGGTTCTGGCTGCATGGACATCAGACTGGGAGCCCTGGATGTCTGTAGAGGGTGGACTTCATCCTTGAAAGTCCGCCCCTGGACCATCTCATGTGCTGGGGAAGCAGAAGTGCGTGTGGGTCCCTGACAAAGACCGGAAAGTGCAGGGACATCACCATCAGCCCACGTTCAGCTGAGGGCTCTTGCTGCTTCATGCTGTACCCCATTGGCTCATCCAGATGGTGGATGTGGGCCCCTTGGGCCACTGGCGTCTGTCCACCTCAGCCCTGAGCTGTTCCTGAAGTGCTGGTCCTTGGCAAGTTGCCCTGGGAGGGAGAGCTCAGAGCTTCTGTCGCATGCACTCAACTCCCAAGGAGCTTGGGCCCACTCAGGGCAGCTGCGGAGCTCCCCTCCTGATCCCTTGAGCTGCGGAGACAGGAAGGGCACACCAGGCCTAGGAGGGGAATCTCAAATCCCTAGGTGCAATGGGTGATGGCCCTGGGCCTATGGTCGCAGCACTCTAGACCTGAGGGGCTGATCCCAGTAAGAGGCCCAACAGGTGCAGGCAGAGGGACCCCTGCATGACGGGCAGTGGGCAGCATGCCTTGGTTGCATGGACACGGTTACCCCGGCACCCATTCCTCTGCCCTTGGGGCCCTGGGGGCTGTGGCTCCCCATGTCCTCGAGGACATTTTACCAGCTCGGTGTGTCACAGATAGCCAATCCATGGGAGGGTGAGAGCCTGGTCCTACCTACCAGGGAATGCACCCTTCACGCCATGCCCCCTACCCACAGCATGCTACCGCTAGGGAAACCTTTGTGCTGGGCCTTCTGGGGGACAGTATCAGCAAGGCTCAGCTCCCTCAGGGGCCATGCTCTCTATTGTTTCAGGGTCCAGGTATGGGTATCTCTGCTCTTGTAGCCTGCCACTTCCTTGCGGTCCCTCGCCATGAGACAGCCAGCTTTATGCCTTGCCACATGGCACCAGGCTTTTGGGACTGAAACTCTTGGCCCGGTACAGGACGTTTTGACAGCTGGCCTGCCCATTTTTTCCCAGAGGCTGTCCCCAGATGAAGATCCTACCCTGAGGTCCAAGTCTTGTTAGGCCAATCTCCGGCAAGAGGCCCAACATCTCGTGCCATTGCCTCCCTCCCAGGGCATCCCGCTCTACAGTAAGCATCCTGGGTAAGCTGGTTCAGGGAATGGGAGAGTCAGCCTCAGGCCTTGCCACTTGCTGCCAGGCTTTCAGACCTGGCAGCTCTTGGCCACAGGGGCAGGTGCCCCGGAGTAGGGAGTTTTGACAGCTGGCTTACCCCTCTCTCCCCAGATCCCATGTCCAAGGATCCTGCCCTGAGGGCCATGTCTTGCTAGGCCCAGCCCCTGCAAGAAGCCCAAAGTTCGTGCTCCCCGCCGGGCATCCCACTCTACAATAAGCACCCCGGTAAGCAGGTTCAGGGGACAGAAGAGCACCTGCCTGTGTCACCACTTCCTTGCTTGGGTCAATGATGAGAACTCTTATTGTCTCGAAGAGAGATGATGACCTAAAAATCATGCTCAATAGGATTACGCTGAGGCCCAATGGAGGGGACCATCCTGGAGTCAGCATCCTGAGGATGCTTGGGGCCCTGGAGGAGCGCTGCAATTTGGGGTTTGAGGCAACAGATCCTTCGGGTCTCCCTGCTGTTGCTCTGGCCTGTCTGTGGGCCTCCAGGTGCCCAAGAGCTACTCCAGTCTTCAGCGTTGCCTCCCGACCCATTCCCCCTCTTGGGACACCTTCTCATGAGCCATTGCTTAGCAACCCTCATCTCCTTTTGTCTTTCAGTGTACCTTGGTGGCCATCGTCTTGGCACGGCCTCAACAATGAGATTTGATTCGATGCCTCTGGAGCTATTTGAACGTCTCAAATGTAAACAGTCGGTGGGAAATTCCACATGATGCAGCTCTGGCACTTCTCTCTTGGTGGGACACCTTCATGGCCAGTGAGGGTTGACTTCTCCTTGAATATCCTCCCTTGTCCTTTGGCAAATCCACTTGATGAGTACATTTGGCCATCCTCCTGACATGGTCTTGAATATCCAGGGAGATCTCCACTCTGCCACCAATCTCCTGCTACATTTCTCATCCCCTTTCATTGAGTTCTCAGCTTGAGCAGCCTGTTTGATGCCGGTCTCTTTCAGGAAATGCCATTTTATTTTGAAGAGAATTTGTCTAGTGAGTTGTGGTGAATCAGGCCTTTGCCCTTTCTGTCCACTTTGGGTGTTTCAGGAAATTGCCTATACTGAGACTTCCAGCTGGAGGTTCCCAGCTGGATCCCCCTAGCCAGCCTTCAGAAGAGGGGAAGCCATCCCCTGAGGTGTGCTTCCTGTTTTCTTATGAACAACACTGTTTTTTTCTGGAAAATTTCTTGCAGATTTCTGGCAGATTACAATCCAATTGTAATCTCTGACTGAAACACAGCTAGATAATCATCAAATCAAACTGAAATAGCAGGAATTCTTATCCTTCTCCAGAGCAGCTTAAACAGAGAAGGCCATGTGGCCAAAATTAGGATGCATTGAGAAATGATTTTTGGTAGAATTGGATCCCTGAGATCTTGGCCACTTTGGGCCTCTCATCATGGAAAAGGCAAGAGAGAGTGGAGCTCACGTGGCAACACTTAGAGAAATACATCCCCTACATCGCCTGGTAAAAGCTTAGAGGTTCATTTTTGTTCTTTTTGTAACCAGAAGCTTTTGAGGACTGTAGTTTTATATTTGGTGGGCTTTTTTAGTGATTGATATTTGAGGGCACTGTCCTTCTCCTGGAGAGAAGGCAAGCAATCTACCCTGGCCAAATGGGCCCTGAGTATCACCTGGGCACAGTTATGGGTGATTATTTGCTCCTCTTGGACCATATTTGTGGTAGGTCACTTTCACAGAGTGGCCTAGTAGGATACAAAGGATCCAGTGATTTCCATTTCCCTTCTACACCTTTCAGCATAAATGCAGAGTCACCTGCCAAGTGCCGCTCATCCCTGACATCCCTAATCACACCACATCTTCTGACCATAGAGTTCTGCAAAGCCTCAGTGTTATCAGAAGTAGCATCAGATCTCATTTAACATGGAAACCAGAGCACACCTAGTTAAAACTCACCCACTCTGACCAAGTTCCAAACACTACTCACTGAAGAGCCTCTGCAGATGACTGGCCTGCAAGATAGAGTAGCCAAAACACAGCAGCAGAGTGCATGCAGCACACAACAGAGACACTCTCTGAAGCACCAGGCCCTGGATATTATATGAATTTCTTCTTAACAAAGCCATTACTCTCAGGAGCAGGGAATATAAGAGGCTTTTCTAACTCAGAGAAGAAGACAGAGGCTTAGACAAAATCCCAAGACAGTGTAATTCATCCCCGAAAAAGAACAAGATAAGGTCATGGCCAGAGATCTAATCAAAACAGATATAAGTAATACACCTTACAGAGAATTTAAAGCAATAATCACCAAGATACTCACTGAGCTTGAGAAAAGCATAGAAGACAACAGAGAGGCCCTTACCACAGAGATAAAAGAGTTTAAAAAAAAAGGTCAGACAGTCTCTTCAACAAATGGTGTTGGGAAAATTGGACAGCCACATGCAGAAGAATGAAACTGGACCATTTCCTTACACCTCACACAAAAATAGACTCCAAATGGTTGAAAGACCTAAATGTGAGACAGGAGTCCATCCAAATCCTAAAGGAGAACACAGGTAGCAACCTTTTCGACCTTAGCCGCAGCAACTTCTTCCTAGAAACATCGCCAAAGGCAAGGGAAGCCAGGGCAAAAATGAACTATTGGGATTTCATCAAGATAAAAAGCTTTTGCACAGCAAAAGAAACAGTCCACAAAACCAAAAGACAACTGACAGAACGGGAGAAAATATTTGCAAACGACATATCAGATAAAGGGCTAGTATCCAAAATCTATAAAGAACTTATCAAACTCAACACCCAAAGAACAAATAATCCAATCAAGAAATGGGCAGAAGACATGAACAGACATTTCTCCAAAGAAGACATCCAAATGGCCAACAGGCACATGAAAAAGTGCTCAACATCACTCGGCATCAGGGAAATCCAAATCAAAACCTCAATGAGATACCACCTCACACCAGTCAGAATGGCTAAAATTAACAAGTCAGGGAACGACAGATGTTGGCGGGGATGTGGAGAAAGGGGAACCCTCCTACACTGTTGGTGGGAATGCAAGCTGGTGCAACCCCTCTGGAAAACAGTATGGAGGTCCCTCAAACAGTTGAAATTAGAGCTACCATTCGATCCAGCAATTGCACTACTGGGTATTTACCACAAAGATACAAATGTAGGGACCCAAAGGGGTACGTGTACCCCAATGTTTATAGCAGCAATGTCCACAATAGCCAAACTGTGGAAAGAGCCAAGATGCCCATCGACAGATGAATGGATAAAGAAGATGTGGTATATATACACAATGGAATATTATGCAGCCATCAAAAGGAATGAGATCTTGCCATTTGCAACGACGTGGATGGAACTGGAGGGTGTTATGCTGAGTGAAATAAGTCAATCAGAGAAAGACATGTATCACATGACCTCACTGATATGAGGAATTCTTAATCTCAGGAAACAAACTGAGTGTTACTGGAGTGGTTGGGGGTGGGAGGGATGGGGTGGCTGGGTGATAGACATTGGGGAGGGTATGTGCTACGGTGAGCGCTGTGAATTGTGCAGGACTGTTGAATCACAGATCTGTACTTCTGAAACAAATAACGCAACATATTTTAAGAAAAAAAGGAAAAGAAGAAGATAACAGGAGAGGAAGAAAAGGGGAGTATGTCAGAGGGGGAGACGAACCATGAGAGATGATGGACTCTGAAAAACTGAGGGTTCTAGAGGGTAGGGGGGTGGGGGGATGGGTTAGCCTGGTGATGGGTATTGAGGAGGGCACGTTTTGCATGGTGCACTGGGTGTTATGAACAAACAATGAATCATGGAACACTGCATCAAAAACTAATGATGTAATATATGGTGATTAACATAACAATAAAAAAATTTAAAAAAAAAAGGTCAGAAATTAAAAATTCAATAACTGAGATTCCAAACTGACTATATGTAATGACCATGAGGATGGAAGAACCATAGGAACAAATAAGTGATATGGAAGACAAAATAATGGGAAAACATAAAGCTGAAAAAAAAAGATAGAAAGAAGAATAATGGAACACAAAAGTAGATATAGGCTATTTAGTGACTCTGTAAATGTAATAACATTTGTATTATAGGTGTCCAGATTAAGAACAGAGGCAAAAGCTGACAGAAAATTTAATTGAGGAAATATTAGCTGGAAACTTCTGCAATCTGGGGAAGGAAACAGACATCCAAATCCAAGAGGAACAGAGACCTCCTGTTAAAATCAACAAAAGCAGGCCAACACCATGATCTATCATATTTAAACTTGCAAATTATTGTGACAAAGAAAAGATGTTAAAGCAGCATGACAAAAGAAGTACCTAACTTATAAGGAAAGACCCATAAAGCTAGCTGTATATCTGTCCACAGAAACATGGCAAGCCAGAAGAATGTGACGTGATATATTCAACATGCTGAATGGGAAATATCTGCTGCAAAGAATACCCTATCCACAAAAGCTATCCGTCAGAGTAGAAGGAGAGAAAAAGAGTTTCCCAGACGAAACTAAAGAAGTTTTCGACCACTAACTCAGCCCTGCAAAAAACATATTAAAGGAGACTCTTTGAATAGAAAGGAAAGCTCAAAAGTGACAAAGACTAGAAAGGCAAAGAGAGAATCTCCAGAAACAATGACAAAACAAGTAATAAAATGGCATTAAATACATATCTGCCAATAATTACTGAATGTAAACGGACTAAACACCACAATCGAAAGATCTGGAATGTAAGAACGGATAAAAATCCAAGACCCATCTATATTCTATGCACGAGACTCATTTTAGACCTAAAGGTTGAAAGTGAGGGGATTGAGAAATATTTACCATGCAATAGCGCATCAAAAAAAAAAAAGAGTAGCAATACTTATATTCAACAGACTAGATTTTAATCCAAAAACTGTAACAAGAAATGAAGAAAGGTACTATATCATAATAAAGGGGTCTATCCAACAAGAAGATCTAACATTTGTAAATATTTATGCTCCCAAATGGGAGGACCCAAATATATAAAACAATTAATAACAAACATAAGGGACTCATTGATAATAATACAATAATAGTAAGGGATTTAAACACCCCACTTACATCAATGAACAGATATCTAAGTAGAAAATCATCAAGGAAACAATGGTTTTGAATGTGGACCAAATAGACTTACCATATATATTCAGAACATTCCACCCCAAAGCGGCAGAATACATATTCTTTTCAGACACACATGGGACATTCTCCAGGATAGGTTACATGCTAGTTCACAAATCAGGTCTCAACAAGAATAAAATGACTGAGATCATACCATGAATATTTTCATATGTTTCATATGATGCTATGAAACATGAACTGAACCACAAGAAAAAAATTGTAGAAGACCACAAATACATGAAGGTTA